GTGATTCTCTAGCATTCTATGGAAATATTCACAAACTTGATATTCTTTAAAAACATCAAGAGATAAATCATACATAAATGCCTGCTGTATGTCTTAATTCCATTAATCCCATTAACAGAAACATTTAACCACAAAAATCCTAAACTGGAAACGAAATCACTAATTTATATGGCTAAAGTTAAAAAAAAATCACTAAGAAGTAAGAATTACAGAAAAAGCTTAAAAGACATGAGAAGCAGCTAATCATGATGCTTCTTGTATGTCACACAAGCTAAACACAGCATGAAGTTTGACCAAAAGCTTTTTAAAAATGCTTCTGTGCTCATATTCTCTGCCTTCTTCCTTTTAAAGATAAATCATCCTTTCTCCTGTTTAAGGATAAACCATTTCCTTTATGAGGCAGTCTAACATTGTACACATTACTTTAATAATCTTCCACTTTTTTTGCACAATCACTCTTAAAAATAAGCCTAGCTTGACCCTAACTTTCCCCTTCATCTGCCATGTGTGTTTCTCTTCTGTCAACTGAATGCCTTCATCTTTTGTTCTCTACGAAGCTGTTCTTCTAAAAGTCACCAATAACTCCCCATTAGAAAATTCAACAGAATTCACAAGTCCAACTTCACTGACCAGTAGAATTTACCATTAAAGAATCACTTTTCCTTCCTTGAAGTGCTTACATCCCCCTTTCAGATATTCAGAGACATGGGAGTTTCTCTCTCACCTCACTGGGTTTTCCATTCCTAACCTCCTTCACACTCCCTCTCTTAATCCTTTTACTTAAGGTTCCCCAAGGACAGGACATAGTAGTTATATCTACCAGACTGTATTTAAAAGTTAACTTTTATACAATCTACAACTGACAATTTTTCCTTCATTCAAAACATCTCCCTTACCCATTTACCCTGTCCGAACTTTGAACTCTCCCTGAATCCAGGTCAGAGTCTCCTTAACCTCTCCACTCAAATATACAATTTTCCATGTTCAAAATCAACCTTCTGACCTTTTCCCAATTGTATTCCTTTTATAATCTTCCCCTTCTTCATTAAATGAAAGTTTCTCTCCTTTTACTCAAACCAAAAACACTAAATTCATTCTCCACTTATTGCTTTCTCATAACTCAAATCCAACAAATCAGCAAACCCTGTTGTTCAAATGACAATTTTCTCTCGCTTCTAACCTTCTACGTGGTGTCTCTGCATCTGCCCTTGCTACCTTAAAATGTGTTCTCAAACTGGCAATCAATAATTCTTTTAAACTACAAATCTACTAAGGAAACTCCCCAGTAGCTCTCTATCTCATTCAGAATAAAAGCCAAATGCAGGCATTTAAAAGATATAAATTCCGAGTTACTTTCTTAATTTAATATCCATTAGTAGAGAGTAACTGCAGTAACTGACCTTTAGGCTTTCCTTGAACAACTCAGCAATATTTTTGCCTCACAGCCTTTGTATATCTTATTCTCTGTGCCTAGACACTCATTCCCTCATGTTCTCCAGGTCTTTAATGTTCCCTTCTCAATGAGGCTTTCCCTGTACATGCTACTTTAAAATCTCTACCCCTCTCCCTATATTATAAACTCCCTAGGTCCCACTTCTTGTATTATTCTCCATCATAGAATCACTATCTAACCTACTACACATTTACTTATCTAGCTACCTATCAACCTCTCTGCCCTCAAACATAACCTTAATTAAGTTAAGGATTTTTCTCTATTTTGTTTTCACTGTGACAGATTCTGTAACAGTCTTCAAGGGGTTCAGACTGATTTCAAATTTCTCCTTAGGAATAATAGGATAGCAGAAAAAGTTTTGGGAGTAAAGCCCTCAATGTTCTGAGGAAAATTATTTTAAGCTTAAATATTGAACTAAATCATCAATCAACTGAGAGAATAAATAAGTACATTTTCTAATATGCACAACTCAAAAAATTCATCTTCCACTAAACCTTTCTAAAATTTTATTTAAGTGAATCTAAGAATGAGGATGGCAATGGGATAAAAGAAACAATAACTAACCCAGTAATACAATAAAAGAAATCTGAGAATGGCAATTCATTGAAAGGCCAAGGAAACTCGAGATTACTTAAAAAACAGTGTAGCCAACAAAATGTCATTTTGTGATTTAGGAGCCTGAAAAGACAACTGTGAAAAGCTATCAATAAAAATAGAAGTATATCTCTCTTGTGAGCAATAAATGAAAATAATGGCAGTTTAAAAGTCTAATAAAAACAAACAAAAACTATATGCAAGGCAAACCATGGTACAAATGTAAAGCATAATGTAGTATAATTTTAAGCCAATGAAAAAAGTTTAAAAATCTTCAATTCTGAGGGGAAAAAAAATGTCCACTGGTCAGCTAGCTCTGAAGAAAAAACAGAACTAAGTGATATTCTGGATTGATACATAATTGCTGTATGAGAAAAACAATCACTATGTAAGAAATAACAATTACATATAATAAAATAATAAAAGTAGAATCATTTCTCTATAATGTTCTTAGCTGAAAGTCATTTATTACTATCATAAGGTATTCCGACAATCAAAAAATGGGGGGAAAAAGTGTTGACAAAATATGGAGAACCTGCAGCCCTCATACATTGTTAATGTGAATATAAAATAGTGCAGCCACTTTATAAAATAGTCTTGATAACTCCTCAAAAAGTTATACACAATATTAAAATATGACTGAGCAATTCTACTCATAGGTATATACCCAAAAGAACTGAGACAGATATTCAAATAGGTACATGTGTACACATGTTAACAGCAGCACTAACTCACAATAGTTGAAAGGTAAACTGAATAAACAAACTGAAGTATATACATACAATGGAGTATTAGTATTCAGCTAAGAAAAATAATTCAGTACCAGTAAGTGCTACAACATGGATAAAAAAAGGAAAATATTATGTCAAGTGAAAGAAGCCAAACACAAAATGTCACATATGATTACATTCATATGAAATATGAAGTAAAGCTAAACCATGGAGACAGAATACAGACTAATAAATACCACAAGTGTAGGTAAGGCAGACTTTATAAAAGAGAAACTGCTTATTGAGTATTTTACCTTGATGTTATATAAATGTTTTTGGAACTAGATAGAGGTAGTAAGTAGTAAAATACTGTGAATGTATTAAATGCCAGGTAACTAACTACTTTAAAGGTTGACTTTTATATTTTATAAATTTAAACAAACTATCTTAAAATAAAAAGATATTCTGCTTTTAATTCACCCTTTTCTAGTCTCATATTTGCAAATTACTTAGAAGATTTCCATAATTTTCTTTCAAAGACTCTTGGAAACTAACATTTATGATTTTGGGGAAAAAAACATTTATTTGGAATTCACTAATCATTTAGGCTTCATTTCAGTTTCTTTTGTTAAATTCAAGTAAAAAATAATAGATTTTATTTTCAAAGTATTACATTAGTTCATCTCTGTAAATTAGGATTAGGGATAATTTTTATCTTACTTATAACATTTCAATATTTACCTAATTTTTTAACATAAAATATTATTTTTATAATCAGAAAAAAATGCAATTTATTAAAAGGATAAAACATGAATGAGTACTTGGAAGAGACTATTGGGGAAAAGATGTGGGCTATCCAATGATGATACACAGAACTTAAAAAGATAACAATGTTTCAGACCAAGAATGATTTGAAGGTATCAGAATACACATCCAATTAATGCAGATAAAAGGAAAATACAGAAATACGTACCTTACCATAAAGGCTTGATTGTATCCAGAGACTTATTCTCCTTTAAAATTCTGAGATATCACTATTTGTGTCTGTGCTCCCCCTACACTCGAACCCCAATAAGGGCTCTAGCCTTCCTCAATAGTTACCCTTCCATCAAGTCACTTGATAGCTTATAGTGAATGGGGACAGTGAAGAGAAGACAGACAAGAAAAAGCAGCTTGGCTGAGGCAGAAAAACTGTCTCATTCCCCTTACTTTCCAAACAAGTCAGTCATGAACAAACTTACCAGTAATCTAAAGCAGGATTTTTGAAATTGTAAACTCGACATATTATTAAATAGGAAAATAAATTTAGTTATTGACTTCAGCATGTATTACATGAAATATAAAAGAATATAAAAGAACAAGAGCACAAAGTACATCCTGTGTAATTAGTATAAAAATTGCTTCAACTTTTTTTCAGTTTCATTTATACCTATAGGAACTGGCTTACAAATGTAAAATTTTTCTTATTATTGGCTGTGGTAGGAAAAAATTGTGAACATGACCTGAGAAATTTTCAACTCTACATTCATTCTAATTTCCTATTCCTCTAAAAAAATTAAGTGGAGGCTTAAAGGATATGAAAATATTTGGGAAAAATATCTATGGATAGAAAAAGTATAGCCCTGAAAATTGCTAAGACTGCTGATGAGAAATGTTTCTTAAAGCTTCCCCCACCATATTTCAAGGACAAAAAAATCTATACAATTACTATGGTAAAGGGTATTCACAGTATTCAATGTTTAAATGTATATTATGAATAAATAGATGCTTACCTTTCAGAAGAACTTTACTAATCCACAAATCTGTTTGATACTTGAAAATGCATGTTTTTGTTATGGTTCAAAGATGACACCAGCTCAATACAACAGATTTCACCAAATAGAAGTCTTGACTGGTAAACAGGAATTAAAGAGGAATCAAAATCTAGAGACCAACTGACTTCTCCCTCGACTGTTGGAAAAACATCTACCTAAAAAATAAATAAATAAAAATAACTTCAATACTCCAATTCCAGTAGCAAACTAAAATGTTCCTATTCCAGTAGGGAACCCTAAACTAAACCAAACAATGAAAAATAGCAGGCCAAACAAAAATTCATGTCAAAATATTTTAGGCTCCTGGAGGACAAACATTACCCTACTCACTAATCAGTTTCCATTATCTATTTTAACTCCAGGAGGAAAGTATCATTTCATAATACCAATAATAAAAGATCTCTCTCTCTCTCTCTCTCTCTCTCGCTCACACACACATACACACACACACACACACACACACACAGAGTCAGACCTCACTATAAAACAAATCACTTGTTATAACTTCATTTAACTTTCTCATGAAATGACATACGAATCTACTCTAACATACAGTAAAATAATATATTTTAAAATGATATAAAAAATGGAAATTTGACATTTTGAAAACATGTAAAAATTCTATTAAAAATGGATTTCAAAGCATTAATAAAATATAAAATTAGAGTATGATTACATCTGTGATGACAAGTGAATATTATTTGTGAGTGAAAAATTAATTTACATAGCTTTTTCCTAGAGCAAAAGAAAAAACACATTACTTCATTTAGTAATGTATTTCCATAAATCATATGTTGTAATCATATTTCTATACAAAATTCAAAATAACTAAAGTTCTTAAATAGACTATCCAATTTCAGTAAAAACCTCTTAATATAATAAATTACTAAACATATTATCATCCACCTCTAGATTTCATTCTTAGTTTCTTAACATTCAACAACCTGTTAAGAAGTATTGGTGGTACACTATATGTGCAAAAATATAGCAGCCTTCAGGTAATATGACGTAAAATCAGTGGCAGACAACTAAAAAATATGATAGCAAATCGACCTTAAAATTACTGAGAGTTGAAAGGAATTAATTAGATCAAACACACTGTAGTATCATGTGCTTCTTAAACCAAATAACAGAAGTAACCCACTGGAAAAAGGATTTCCAGAAACTGTCTTATGGCATTTTAGATATTTCTATTTTATTAAATATAATTCATGTTTCATCTGTGTTTGTATTCTTGTTTGCAATAATTTATTATATTAAAATGCAGAACTTCTGGGCTCAGGACGTGGCTCAGCGGTAGAGCACTTGCCTAGCACGCACGAGGTCCTAGGTTTGATCCTCAGTGCCACATAAAAATGAATAAATAAGGTATTCTGTTCAACTACAACTAAAAAATAAATATTTTTTTTAAATGCAGAACTTCCTATTTATTTATATAATTAATTGGTGCTGGAAATTTAATCCAGGGGTGCTCTTCTTATTTTGACATGATTTTGGCATGATATAGCCCGAGCTCTTATTTTTTTTTTATTTTTGAGACAGTCTCAGTAAAGTTGCCCAGGTAGCCCTGAACTTTTGATACTCTTCTCTCAGTCTTCTGAGTAGCTGGGATTATAGGTGTGCACCAACACCTGGCTTAGCATTTCCTTATTTTAAACTTTCAATCTTATCTGAAAAGTTTCAAATGATACTCTTCTAAATTATATTACACATACAGAGAATATCTTAATGTCACTGGATCTTTGCACAGCAATATATTCACATAACTTTTCTTCGATGGTTGAACCAAAAATTTCTGACCATTAAAATGTGTCTTTCTCATCTTTGCTTTGTAAAAACAGACCATTTTTGTCTCTTTAGAGTGAAAGTATTCAAATATCATTCGACTACTTTAACGTTATCTGTTTTATGATTAATGTGTATTTAAGTAACACTGAATATATATTGTCATACCACTGTCTTACCATTATTTAAAGAATGATGGCTATTTACCTCAAGAAGTATGACTATAACCAAAAGAAAAAGTAACACTACAATCAATGTCCGGAGTAATTGTAATTTATTTTATTTCTAAATACATACTTTAAACCAATTAGGGGCCAACTTTCCATTTCTTACACTGCTAGGGTCACTAATTAACCTTATTTTGACATGATATATTGAATATATCATGCCAAATATATTGAATATATAATGTCAAATTGATATACAGTGAAGGAAACTAAGAAGGGAGAAAAAGAGAGGGCATTATAGGCAAAATTAGGAAACACATATGATCCCCTGTACACTCAGTAAGACCACAGTAAACAACTACACTTCCTCAGCAATTCATATGCAGAACTATTTACCAGGCTCTCCATGAAGACTATACTGGTTCTTTTTCTAGTTATTCTCTTAGGAATGACATAAATATTGAGAAATCTAGAAATAGATATACACATGCACATATAAAAAATTATTGTCAGTATGTAAGTTACTGCTGCCCTGGGACTGCAATAATTTATGTAACATCTGTTTTCATATTTTTCTAATTTTTTCCCTAATTAGCATGCATATTTAACGCATAAATGCTCAGACCACCTTTTTTCTGCTGACTGTGCCCATTTTTCCTCCTGAAGTTGTGTACTCCTAGGTAGAATTTAGAATACATGGAAACCAAAAGTTTATTGAAAGTACTAATTTTAAAATGTAAACAGTACTAAACTAATTTTCAAGAGAACACTGAAGTCTTAGGAGTTTTCACAAGTACATATCAATCTCTCAGCAATAGTCATATACTAAATAAAGGCCCAAATGAAACAAAAACAAATAAACAAAAAACCTACATAAAAGCAAAATTCTAATATTGTCTTAACTTTGAATTCTAACTTTCTAAGAACTAAGAAACTTATTAAAATAGCTATGATTTCTTGTCTCGACAGGTTTGGTACAATTTTTAAATGTTTATGCCTCAAACAACTAAAATAAATGGACAAATCCCACATAGTAAATATCAAGATGTGTGTGACCAACCATCTCCTTTTTAAATTGTAAACCTCAAATACAATGCAGATTCAACAAAAGGACAAAGTTTTAGTCTAAAGCTTATGAAAGTTCAATCCAAGTTCTGGAAATCTCTTAAATCAAAATATTACTTATATTCACTTTTAATAGAAAAAGTAAAACTAAAGGCAGATCAAATCAATGCAACCACAACTTAAGTATTCTCAAATAACAATGCTTAGGATGACAACAATGTAGCCCTATCTGAACTTTACTCCAGAATTAATCACTTTGTATATTAATTGCTTATTTATAGACTTTAGTCAGTCATTTGCTATTTGTCATCTATTGTCAAGATTATTCTGGGCCTTTGTAAACACTAAAATTGTGTCAGCCTTCAAGGAGCTTACATTTTTACTTGGGGAAACAGCACATAATTATGCAAATGCATAACTGAGATTTTTATACCAGGAAACAGGATTTAGTTCAGAGATCAGCAAAGGCCTAAGAAACAGTTTTAAGATGAGGTCTTAGTGCTATAGGATGTATTCCAACCTAGGGCACAGCAAGTGCAAAAGTCCAAAAAATAAATAAGACCAGCACATTTTATGTCAAGAAAGACCAGTTGCAGCTGGAAAGGGAACACATGAGAACCAAAACGAGGCAGAAAACGTAAGCAAAGACACTAAAGGGTTTAATATAAGTTATGACAATCAACTCTACTTTGAAAAATACCACATTTGGCTAACTCAAAGTGAGGGCCAAAAGGTGGCAGGGGAAGAGTCAGATGTGAGATAAGAATAACCTAAACAAAGGTGATAGAGAAGGCAGAAGAGACTTCCTTGATTACAATCAGCTGATCTTGGTGGGAGATTAGATTATGTAGAGGATGAGTATGGCTAGCAATTCCTTTCACTGATGTACTGAACTCTGAAAGAAGATAAGGCACAGAGGGAAAGAGCTTAAATTTAGATTTAGGTATGTTAAAGAGTTTACCTGTTGCTGATGTCTCATAGGCATTTCAATTTAAAGGTCTGCAGTTATAAGAAATGTCTGGGCTAGGATCAAATTTAGAATTTGCCAGAATATGAGCATTTATAAAAAATGAAAACCTATATTTTTTTCCCATCAGAAAAAATCTTCAAAAATCCAATGCCTTCCTAGTTTGTAGCTATTACACTATATCAGAATAGAGAAGTATTTCATATCTTAACAAACTCATTTAGGCTATTATTGGTTAATCCACACAGCATATTTGTATTTTATGTCTTATTTTGAACTGCTTAATAATAGTTATCATTTACGAAAATTATTTACTTTGAAATAGAATTGCATTTAGTACTCTAAAAATATGCATTTAGAGTCATTAATCCTCACAATAATCTTAATTATCACATCCACTTTTCAGATGAGGACAGTCAAGTTTAGGGAAGTGTAAAGTTACTAGTAAGTCACTAAATGATAAAGCTTCTAACTCAGGTTATCCGAACTCATGGTCCATGCCATGTCCACCTAAAATAAAGGGTAGTATGTGTAGTATCAGGGGTCTTGAACTGTAAAAATAGATCAATTTCAGTTACAATCCTGACCACAGAACACCACGTAAGTACTCTAATCTATGTTTCCTCACCTGAAATTCTTAGTAAAACCTACTGACATTTTAGGAAATGTAAGTCAAACATCTGAATTGACATCCCCATATCAACACATGTTCCTCCTACCAACGGGGTGAGAGGTGCCAATCAATGGAGGGAAGACTTAGAGGCTATTCACTATCTTATTGTCCTTCAACTAACAAACACTGACCATGAAAGCTTTGAAAACTAAACAGTATGTGGAATGGCAGGCAGGTCATTGGGAACAGCTAATCAGTTCTCCTCTGCTCTTCCCCCAAGTGGCTAAAAAGAACATCCATCAGAAAAGACAGAAGCCAAAATTCTAAAAACTGCCAATGAAGAATTCAGCAGTGCTTCAAAACCTTTAGTGTCTATAAAAACCATCTAAGAAGCTTATCAAAGTGGTGATTCAGAATCAGACTGACAGGAAGAATAGATGTGAATGGTGGGAACATAAAGTTAAGGGAATAATTCTACCAACTGGGTCCACTATGCTGACCCCTACATGCTTCTTTTCCAAGAAGCAATTTACCTGCAGCCCTCCCTCACTAAAATGA